ATCGAAACCGTAGGCCTCGACCGCGGTGATGGAAAGCGGCCGGATGGCATTACCATTTTCCCTCTTTTAAAATGGGGAAGTCGTTGATTTGCGATGCGACCTGTGCGGATACATTTTCGGTCGGTAATTTGATCAGGTCCGCGGTTGAGCCAGGATCCGTCGCCCGGGACGCAGAGATGAAAAAAATAGTTAAATATTCTTCTCTTGCTGATAGATTTTTTTTTTACTCCTGTGGCAGTGGAGACTTCACAGGTTTACTGTCCCTCGTTCGATGGCGTTCCTTCGAAGGATTGGCGCGATTGCGTCTCGATTAAGGGACGTGCCTCGCGAAACGGAGTGGCTCTTGCAGCGTGTCTCACTGGCGATGCTTTGAAGTAATGCTTTCTCCATCATTGCGGCTGGCAGAGGTTAGAAAAAAATTGTTTATAGCTACATTGTTCTGGAATTCTCATCAGTGGTCAACTGTACTTGTTTTGTTTCTAAAAAATTTAAACTTCACTTAGCCGACTCGTTTCGTCCTCTAATAGACTTTACAAAGACAAATGTAAGGATTTTATTATGTAACACGTATTTCTAATAAAACAAAAATGGTGTTAGTTTCTAAAAAAATTTCAATTCAAAAAACGATCCTAAATATTCATCAGGCTAAGTGAAAAGTCGAGGTAAATTATGGAGGACGCTAAGTGACGTAGTATAATAAAAATGTATGTAAATGACGTTGCTATAGAATTTTATTTTTATAATGTAACTAGCAGTAGAGCCCGGCGTTGCCCGGGGATGTAACAGTAAGAGATAGATCAAGTATCGACCATCATAAGGACTGAAAAATAAAATTGACAAAGATTATTGTTTAAGATTGACGGACATGCATGTCTTAATTAGTTTTTTTTTTTTTTTTCGAATTGGTCACACCCAAACTCAAACAAAAACATTGTTTTTAATCGTTATGAGTCTATCAATTGAATAGAATTTTATTATAAACAATTGTCTTGTAAATGGAATTTTTAAAGCATTCTGAATGTAAAAATAAAGAAAAAAGTATGCAAAACAATAAGAAACACTACCTGCCAAAAAGAAAAGTGAAGTTTTGTTGAAATCGGTTGAAAAATGTAGGAAATCCGATCCCATATATAAACGAACACACTCACAAACAACCTGGATTTTATAAGTATAACTCGATATGAGTTGTCCCCTTTAATTAATGCCTCTTAATCGTGTTTTCAAATTGATTTTGTGCAAAAACAATTGTGTTTTTCCAATTTTTGGTGCTGTCAGAACCACCGCAAGGTAATTTTACGTAGTTTTGTTGAAATCGGTTGAAAAATGTAGGAAATCCGATCCAGTATATAAACACACACACACACACAAACACAACCTGGGTTTTATAATAAGATTAACATTTAAACTGTTTTAATTTGGGATTAATTTATGTAAATTATATTCCAAAGATTAGGTTACAAATTTAATGGTATTCTTTGATTTTTCTTTTACGCTTTTATCGTTATGCATGTTGGCTTGGGAAAGATATTTGGCTGAAAATGCTCATTTTATTATAGTGGATGATTGCAGACGAGAGGGGAGACGAGAGTTCCTTATTTTATTACCACAACAAAAATATATATGGAAAAAGGAGTAAAGAGAAAAGGCAAACTTATCTTAGTCGACGCGTTTGGTTTTCTGAACGACTTTAACAAGGCAAATATAAGGATTTTAATTTGCAACAAGTATTTATAAATAAACGCGAAAATGTAATTTCTTTCAACATTTTTCAAAATAAAAGGAGATTAAAAATTGAACTGTTTTCTTTGAATTTTTAAAAAATCTTTTTATCCTTATGCATATTCGCTTGGGAAGAATGTTTGGCTATTTTTTTTTTTATATTTTGTAGCAGGATCAGATTTTTTTATAACAGGAGGAGTCAGTTACTTACTGGAGTGTTACAAGGAACCGAGAATGTTTCCAGCACACACACACACACACACACATATATATATATATATATATATATATATATATATATATATATATAAAAAAAATTTTTAATATCTATCTATCTCAGTTTTTCTATCTTAGTTTTCCATATTTATCTATCTTATTCTCTTCTTATATGTATCTATGTATTTTTCTACGAAATTTCTCCGGACATTCAGGCTGGGAAATTTCACTAATACTACTATATATATATATATATATATATATATATATATATATATATATATATATATATGTGTGTGTGTGTGTGTGTGTGTGTGTGTGTGTGTGTGTATGTGTCATTCGCAGACAATACTGTTTCTGCTGTAACGCATCTTGTCAGTGCGACTAAATATCCGATTGGCTCAAGCCCGGATCGAAACCCAAGCGATTTGGTGTTAGTCAGAGTTTCTACCACTCAACTCTCTTCATTCGTTCGTTCGTTCGGCATCCGTCCGTCTCGAGAGACGATGGAGTAGCATGGTGCGCTATGAACCTGGGCGGGATATATGGAGAACTAGGGCTGCCCAGACGTCTCGTTCCCCTTCTCGGCCTTGCTAGCTGAGTCCAAAGGAGAGGATAAACCAAGGAGTTGCCGGAAGGTAGTACAAAGTGCCGTCCATCCGCCTTGGGGTTTCACTCTCATTGTTTGAAAATATATATATATATATATATATATATATATATATATATATATATATATATATATATATATATATATATATATATATATATATATATATATATATATATATATATATATATATATATATATATATATAATATATATATATATATATCCGATACTGGATAAATGTTTATAAATATCAAGACGCCCGATGGCTTAATATTTAGAATCTCCGACTGACACCAGTTCAGTCGGGTTTCGACCTTAGCTGGAAGCAACCGGATGTCTAGCCACACTGATGTGCTGTGAAACAGCAAAACAGTCTGTCTGTGGATGACGGTATATTGGCTCTTGAAAAATTAATTTCAGTTGAGCTCTCTGGGGAGGAGATGTGGATTGGTAAACTGACTATTATAGCTATATAGCGAGACTCTTCGCTCATGCGAATTGAGTCATTCCCGGTCACTGGGCGTGTTTATAAAGATAAACACGCTAAAAATCCACTTTCCTCCCTACCGTGCGCCGATGGTTTAGTCGGGTTTCGACCCTAGCTGGAGGCAACAGGATGTCTAGCCACACTGATGAGCTGTGAAACAGCGAAACAGTCTGTCTGTAGATGACGGTATATTGGCTCCTGAAATTAACCACTAAATGAAAAGCAACAACGACTTAGAAAAAGTGAATTAATTAATTTATTTATTCATGTAATTTAAGTTTTTTTTCTGATCTGTAGCATTATATTCTCGCATAAAGACATACATATGTATTATCTGTCCTGAAAGGAACAATTCATTTTAAGAATCTATAGATCCATTTGCGTGTCCTTGGCATAAATAAGAAATTATTCAGAAAGTTTTCTTAATACGCAGGGACGAACAGACACTTTCCTGTGGTGTTTTTTTCGGTCCGTACTGAGAGACAACTCAGGGAAATTTTGCACTGTGTGACCAACACTTACTTATTGCTTTCTTTTTATTAATATATGTGAAAAAGAAGATATGTGTGTGTTTATTTGCATGCGGAGATAGATAGATAGATAGATAGATAGATAGATAGATAGATAGATAATGTCAACAGATAGATAAATATATGAAGAGACAGATATAGAAAGATAGGTAGATAGAAAGAAAGAAAGAGACTCGTTTCAATAGATAGGTATAAAGAAAATAAGATAGATAGATAGATAGATAGATAGATAGATAGATATGAACAGATTGAAAGAGATATAAAGATAGATAGATAGAGAGAGAAAGAGAGAGAGAAATATATGAAGAGACAGATATAGATAGGTAGGTAAATAGAAAGAAATAAAGAAAGAGACAGATAAAAAGAAAATAAGATCGGGAGAGATAGATAGATAGATAGATAGATAGATAGATAGATAGATAGATAGATAGATAGATAGATAATATGAACAGGTAGATAGAGAGATAAATATATGAAGAGACAGATATAGAAAGATAGGTAGATAGAAAGAAAGAGTCTGATTTCAATAGATAGGTATAAAGAAAATGAGATTGATAACTACATAGATAGATATGAACTGCTTGAAAGACATATAAAGGCAGACAGATAGATAGATAGATAGATAGATAGATAGATAGATAGATAGATAGATAGATAATGTCAACAGATAGATAAATATATGAAGAGACAGATATAGAAAGATAGGTAGATAGAAAGAAAGAAAGAAAGAAAGAGACTCATTTCAATAGATAGGTTTAAAGAAAATAAGATAGATAGATAGATAGATAGATAGATATGAACAGATTGAAAGAGATATAAAGATAGATAGATAGAGAGAGAAAGAGAGAGAGATAAATATATGAAGAGACAGATATAGATAGGTAGGTAGATAGAAAGAAATAAAGAAAAAGGCAGATAAAAAGAAAATAAGATCGGCAGGTATATAGATAGATAGATAGATAGATAGATAGATAGATAGATAGATAGATAGATAATGTGAACAGATAGATAGAGAGATAAATATATGAAGAGACAGATATAGAAAGATAGGTAGATAGAAAGAAAGAAAGTCTGATTTCAATAGATAGGTATAAAGAAAATGAGATTGATAGCTACATAGATAGATAGATAGATAGATAGATAGATAGATAAATAGATAATATGAACAGGTAGATAGAGAGATAAATATATGAAGAGACAGATATAGAAAGATAGGTAGATAGAAAGAAAGAGTCTGATTTCAATAGATAGGTATAAAGAAAATGAGATTGATAACTACATAGATAGATAGATATGAACTGCTTGAAAGACATATAAAGGCAGACAGATAGATAGATAGATAGATAGATAGATAGATAATGTCAACAGATAGATAAATATGTGAAGAGACAGATATAGAAAGATAGGTAGATAGAAAGAAAGAAAGAGACTCATTTCAATAGATAGGTTTAAAGAAAATAAGATAGATAGATAGATAGATAGATAGATATGAACAGATTGAAAGAGATATAAAGATAGATAGATAGAGAGAGAAAGAGAGAGAGATAAATATATGAAGAGACAGATATAGATAGGTAGGTAGATAGAAAGAAATAAAGAAAAAGGCAGATAAAAAGAAAATAAGATCGGCAGGTAGATAGATAGATAGATAGATAGATAGATAGATAGATAGATAGATAGATAATGTGAACAGATAGATAGAGAGATAAATATATGAAGAGACAGATATAGAAAGATAGGTAGATAGAAAGAAAGAAAGTCTGATTTCAATAGATAGGTATAAAGAAAATGAGATTGATAGATAGATAGATAGATAGATAGATAGATAGATAGATAGATAGATAGATAGATATGAACTGCTTGCAAGATATATAAAGGCAGATAGATAGATAGATAGATAGATAGATAGATAGATAGATAGATAGATAGATAATGAAGAAACAGATATAGATAGGTAGGTAGATGGATAGAAAGAAAGAAAGAAAAAGACTGATTTCAAGAGATAGATAAGAAGAAAATGAGATAGATAGATAGATAGATAATGTGAAGAGATAGATAGAGAGATAAATATATGAAGAGACAGATATAAAAGATAGGTAGATAGAAAGAAAGAGGCTGATTTCAATAGATAGGTATAAAGAAAATGAGATAGATAGATAGATAGATAGATAGATAGATAGATAGATAGATATGAACAGATTGAAATAGATATAAGGACAGACAGACAGGCAGTTAGATAGATAGATAGATAGATAGATGAAGAGACAGATATAGATAGGTAAGTAGACAGATAGAAAGAAAGAAAAAGACTAATTTCAATAGATAGATAAAAAAAAATGAGATAGATAGATAGATAGATAGATAGATAGATAGATAGATAGAAATATCCTAAAATAGAAAATCTTTGAACAGCAGCTGATAATATCTAAACAGCTATATATAAATGTGTAATCACCGAGTTGGTACGTGTGTGTGTGAAATAGAGAGAGAGAGAGAGAGAGAGGGGAAAGAGAGAACGAAAGAGAGAT